TTCTTAAAAAAATATGTAGCCTATCGATGTATTTTTTATATCGTATATTGCAAACATTACTGTAAATTAAGTCGTTACTTGTTACGATTATGTTTAGTTACTTGTCTTACGATTTATGTTTGAAGAATCATTTATATTCAAAGTTATGACAAAATAAAACTAAAAAATTTTTGTTCTAATTTTATATGTTTATATTGTGTGCAGTATTTCATTTGTCATAGAATAGATTAATGAAGTAACGCTAATATTAAATAAAGAATTTTTTTCATAATTTCATTGCAATTTTAAAAGAACATTCTTCAACATAATTGAAATTATTATGAACAATGTTTATAAACTACTTAAATTCCTTTTTAATATTGTGTGTGTCCAAATCATTCTTTCTAATTATAATGACGCAATTTTAGGTGGAAAGAAAATCAGGAGAATGTGTAAGTATCATAATCATTTTTTTTTTAACAGATAGAAGAAATTTATATAGTCAAGAAATTACAAAATAAATGACTTAATGTTCTATCTCATTTATTTTTTACCAATCTGATATCAAAGGACAAATTATGCTGCAGAAATGAGGGTTAAAACAGTAGTGAAAAAGCAGTCGAAGGACAACAATGTAGAAAATTTTGCAAATGAACACTTTGATTTTGATATTTTATTTTTACGTCACTATTTTACACAGAGTCATTACCAAGTTATTACCAAGACACGTGATAAGAGCAATGGTTTCCCATGCGTGAGATATTAAATTAATATTAGAATAACGCAACTACAAACTTCTGGTTTCTCTAAAACTTCACGCTGTCCCAGTAATCACGCAAATTAATTTATAGCTCCCCGAGGTTGTGAAGCAGATGAGAAATAAGTAAAAGGTAACTTCCTCGGAAAATCAAGACCGTGATGTATCGCCATGTCTGAGAGAACTTCTAATTACTAATGGCCTATCAAAATGTATCTTTGTACAATTTCCGATATAAAAGAAAATGCTGCAAACTGTCGAGTACACTAAGATTCTAAAGTTTTGAAAAATTCATGAATGGTCATACACATCGTTAATTTCATAATTGTGAAAATGGTCATTTTCTGAATATTAATTCGATAAATCTAAGATTCGTTAAATCGCTTAACATCCTAAATTCTTAAAAAATCGTATAGAAATCGTACGAATTCGATAAATCCAAAAATCTTTAACTACCTCATAGCAGGTGAACTTTTGATTTATCGGTATAAAATCGCGGACTGATTGTAGTTGTACAGATGCCTTCTAAGCATTATGTTAAAAAGTATACAAGAAGAAAAACAAAAAGAAATCAAAAAATTTATTTAAAATTAAAATTTAAAATCTTTCAGATCTAGTTCCTTTTTGCTAAAATTGACAAAATATTTAGAATACAAATTGTTACAAGGTTAAATACCGTAATACCCTAAGTTTTCAAAGAATTCGTACATTAATTTTTTTGTTCACCTTTCAGTCTGTCATTTTCTGGAGTGTTCGAATTTTGTTTTCTATTTTCCTTCTACGTAGAAATTAAACCGAAGCTGCGCAAGGGGAGGGCAGAGAAGAAGGGACAAAACGCGACAAAATCGATGCAAAAAAAAGGGGGGTGACGAGTTTTTACAGCTTCTTTTATGATGCAATATGGCGAACATTCCATGCCCGCGAAAACTAAACCTATTACCGTCGCCACCGAGCAGTGATTAAATGCGACTATAAAAAACATCCTTCAAACAAAGTTAAATAAGGTGGCCCGGCGATAATGGGAATTCGGAGTAATTGCGATTGAAACAGCAGGTCACGGAACGAAGCTGTTTGGCAGGAGGAAAATAAAATTGGGAATACAGGTTTAAGGCTGCCTCCTCCCTATTCCTAATCTTAATTCCCGGGACTTGTAAATACCGATGCTATACGCGTTGCCAGCCAATTTTCTGAAGCCTCGATAATTAAACTTAATATCGTCGTTATGGAAATTAGATTTTCGAACGAGATCGAGTCATTATTTCGCGAAATAATTAAAATACTTAAAAAGTATCCGTACGAAATTAAAATATGAAACTTAATCATTTTATAATCTATAATTTAACAAACGATATACATTTTATTCGTGAATTCGACCGTAATTTATAAGTACGCGACCGAATTAGTTGCAATAATAAAATCAATTTTGTGAAATCAAAAATCAAAAATATTCGATTCAATTCATTTTGGCTTAATATTTTGTGGTCATTATTAGACTGCAGGTTTTATGCATTCATGACAAAAATGGAATGATTAGAAAATATTAAATTATTCAAAAAAAAAGATTTAATTAAATTAAAAATGTTGATGTATTAATTTCAATTTATTAAAATTATTTAAGAAAGAGAGAACGTTATACATTGCTCATTTGTTTTGCAATCGATGCAGACAATCTTTATTTTTGATAAAGATCTACAGGTTAATCATTGCACACATATTAGGAAGAATAGTCAGAAAATATGCTGACAATTTATCATTAAAATTAAATATTATCTATCTATAAAAGCATGCGCGAACAAAGTATTATATGTGATTCTATTTTCTTACTTTTCATAAAAATTGACTTGTATTATTTGCAAGGTTTACAAAATAATATAAAAATCATATAAAAATTAAATTATTCATAAAGTAATATAAAAGTCATGTACAAATGAAATGATTCATAAAACAATATAAATATCATATAAAAATGAACTTATTTATTAAAATAAAAGTATAAACGACACCACAAAAGACACATGCTGAAGTAACAATTCATGGTTGGAAAAAAATCAGATAACAGTTATTCTGATTGTGTTTCATACAATGCTATTATTTCGTCAACATTTTCCTTTTCTTAGAAAAATGAATTTCACTATTTAGTACAGATACATCGAAAACATGCTAAAGCGTTTTAAAAAGGGGTGAAAAGAAAATACTTCTATAGACCCTATTACAATGCATCTTGCATCCTCGAAGTAGCTTTTTCCTAAGACAGTCTGGTGACTGTCGTGCAGCATTCATTCACAGCTAACTTCTTATATTCAAATGAGTGAACGCGTTATGGGAGTAGAACTATGAACGAACGAGCTCTTGTCCCCACGTCTAAATAGACGCCTTCATTCTTTGCTTCTCATTTCGACGTTATGCAAATGGAATGCGAGCCGAGGAGACCGTTCTTTATTCCCTCCTAACGTCGTGGCATCTTCAGACGCCAGAATAAATTAAAAAGTACGTTTCAGTGCGTTTACCTCGGGAATTACTCTGGGTTCGTTAACGGTACTAACGGATGCTAGTTTCTTGAAAGAAATACAACGGAAAATCGATAGATATTGACGCGACAGAAACGAATTGTAATGTTATCTTTAAAAAATTCATTTCCTCGAGTAAATTCCAATTGTTTTTATCCGATTTGCACAATTTTAATGTACCTTATTACATTTTCAATATAACCAACGGCTTAACCACAGTCGAACATTAAATATTATTGTTTTAACTTCTGCGATACGAATTGTAAGTGTAAAAGATGGATTTGTGCCAACACTTTCAAGATCTCTATTTTACACAGTAAATTAATAATATTGTTTTATAGGTCATAAAGGTCTGCTATAGATCCTAAATCCATTTATAAAAATAATGAACAGGTGAGATACAAAACTATAGAGTCAATAGACAAATTTAACATTGTTACGCTGTTTTCGACTTATCCAAGTTACTAAACAACGAAATACATATTTATTTAATTTCAATTTCACGCAAGTGACTCAGAACATTTTTACGATAAAAATTATTCTAGACACGGTACAAGTTTAATATTAATTTCTAGGAAAAGAAATTGTTCTAAACGATTACTCTGTAATCGAACCAAAATTCTATCGCAAACGAGCACACATTACAAAGATAAGAGGAAGAAAAAAAAAGATGATATACTCACTCGGTGAAATGATGAATCTGGCCAGCCGTTCTTTTCGAGGCCCTCGCTTCAACGCTGGCTGCGGTGCGTACGATCAATTCCCGGCACTGTTTCCGCAGATCTTGAAGCTCTGTTTCGGCGTCCTCGACTCTCTTCCATAGATCGGTGAGCACCTCGCTACCTGGTGCCAATTGGTTCTCCAAGCTGCGGGTCAGCCGGCGAAGGGCTGCCAGGCGTCGCTCGCGTTCACTCAACTCTTGCTCGCTTCCGCTGTCGGAGATCCCGCTGTCCGAGAGCGAGCCGCCCTCCTGTGTCAGACTGATCGGCGATGCGTCGCCGAATTTCGACGGCGTGCCGCTGCTCACCTCCTCCGTGGTCGTGTCTTTCAGCACCGTCTCGTTCTGTAACAAGAACATCAACGCGATCATCGCTTTGGCCTGAACCGTTGCTGTTTGTTTTGGATTCTTCGGGGAGCAAACCGATCGGTCCACTGTGCAAGATATCGGATCGACGAGAAGCTTTTACACCTCTTACGTATTGTCGCAGAAAATTAATCTCTTGCGATTTATTTTCAAGGGAACGTTATCACGAAATAAAACTGAAATATTTCTGTTTTTATTTTACATTTTTATGTGAATGTGGACATTATTTCATTTGTAATAGGACAGATCAATAAAGTAATGCAAATACTAACTAAAAAATTGAAAAATATTCTTTTTAAGTTACAATGAAATTAAGAAAAAACTTTTTTACG